TTGGTCGAAGTGGCGTTTCCATACAAAATGTATACTACTTATAGTGCATGAAACGCTGATTACAAAACTACTTTCGCTATCTGCAAAGCGCTTTTGGGAGGCGAGTTATAGGATCTGATGCAAAATTCGAAAGCGCCGCTGTAATAAAATAATTCAAACTTTGATTCGTAAACTCAAATGGGGCCAGGATTTGATGGGGCCAGGATTGCTATCAGGGCGCTTTATGCACTTAATCCCTTCAGTTTAATAAACTTATGCTAGTCAATGCAGCTTTCAACCGCTTGAAAGATCTTAGCACCTGTTTTTATCTTAGCCAAAAACTTGAGTTTTTGCCTCAAAAAAATTCCTATAACTCCAATTGCAGAAGAGCTTTGCAAATATTGAAAGCAGATTTAGAACCACCGTTCCATGCACTATAAGACAGTATACATTTCATATGGAAACCTCACATTGACGATACCTAAGCGAATAATTCTGGGGGATGCACCAAATAAGTATCGTGTGTCCCCCAGAGTTGTTCCCATAGGTACTAGCAACATGGCTGCCTTTCGATCGTTTTAACATGCCAGGTTCGAATAAGCGCCTTAAATTTGCTGGAGTTGACGTGTTAAAATGATTGAAAGGCAGCCACGTTGATGATACCCATGGGAATAATTCTGGGGAAAATGCGCCATACGTATCGTGTGTCCCCCAGAATTTTTCAGAATTGTTCCCATAAGTGGTATCAGCGTGTTGCCTTGCGATCGTTTTTACGTGCAAAACTCTTTCTAAAGAGCAAGGACCTGTATTATTTTTGCATGCCAAACGGTAGACATCTTATTCTGTTACTCAAATAAGACTGGCCTACTCTGGAATCGTGTCGCTTATCCTACATATATGGTAACTAAGGAATTGCTTGCTCTTTCAATGAAGAAACCAAAACTTACCCATCCAGCGTATGCACTAATATCCACGCATATGTGGTGAGTAAAAAATTCTGCCATCTATTTGGATCGCTTCGGATGTTCTGGGGATCAACTGGGAAATATGCGGATAAGTAGAAATATGTGAGCAGTTCTAGCACGTAGATGCCTCCTTGTGTCGTTACCTATAAACAAAACAACTAATCTTTTCATGTTATATTATAACAATAAATTGTGGAAGGTCGTTTTGTACGATAGTGATACTGTTGGGAATTTCCAACCAGGACCGCACCCGTCGGGCCGTTATTGTAGTACAAAACGGCCGTCTCCCCAGTGAAGTCCCCTAACCTGTTGTACAAACGATCTTTCCATGTTTCTTCTTTTTATCTGCTGCGTTGTTTCAAAGACTGTGACACCCTAAACAAAAATATTGAAGAGAACATAAGACTAAGGCAAAAATGCCAACCTGCTTTCTTCTTCGCAAATTCATCCGAATGAATGTACACGTGTTCATAAAGGCGAACATGGAGATCGTAATAAGGCCACGAATGAATTCAGCATAGTATACATGGATTATTTTGCATGGTGGAGTCACGTAGTCCAACATCCATCGCTGGATTGAGAAACCCATTTGGCAGGAAACTGAAAGCCAAAACTTTTGCCACACCACAGCAAAATGAAAAAGTAAACTTGATATCCTAATTTTGCTGTAATCAGCTGTTCCTAATCTTCCTATCCGTATGCTCTCTTTATTGTGCAGTTTAGCGCACTGTCTTCCGCAGTATCATGTCACATTACGTGTCCCATAAGTTACTCACGAGCAACTTAGGAGTTTTCTCTGGCTTTCGTCATTTGCACACTATTCCCGTAAGATCATCTCAAAGCGGGTCTGCTCTCATAGAAGCCAGGTGAGATCACACCATCAGCACCTGCCCTGACGTCCCCTGTCAGGTCACATCATCTAACGGACCCCATCTTAGGCCTTCAGTTCAGATCATCTGGACTGACGAGGGATTCACTATGGGTCCTTGTCACTTAAAAGAACTACAACAGACGAATCATCATACGCGGGAACGCCGTTGAGTCCCATTCAGATAGCACATGTTTGGAAGAGACATTCGCGCACTTTCTCTGATTCATCCTTACATACATTTTTGTCACTTTGATTAGTAATTTAGAAAAATTTTGTTTTTCGATAATAGTGGGACTCTGTCAATACATCTCCTTATGAATAGCTAAAATCGCTAATGATCATGGAAATGTTTTACTTACTGTTGGAGAGTAACATTTGTTTGTTTTTGTTTGTGTTTGACTTGTGATCTCTAGAATCTATTGATATTATATTGATCTATGCGCGGGCTCTGAGCGCTATATAAGGCGC